GTGACCAAGCTTTTTTGCTAGCTATTTTTTTGCACCTAATCAAGACTTCTGCTATATAACTGCTGAGCTGATCTCTCTACGTAAATATCTAGATGGGCCTTTTGCAAGCTTGACTTTGTAATGCCTTACCGCACCCCGAGGAACAGGACATGCAAGGCCAGCCTGAAGTTTGACCTACGTTTGGCCACTGGGCTCTGCATTTTTGCACTTTCCAGACCAGAACATACTGTATTGGCCACTGAGCTCTTTTCAGGGCCAAAGCCATGGCACAGCCCCAGGTGTTACCCTGCCTCTGACTCACTTTGTGGGTAGGCTGTAAGTGCCAAGCAGCGGGAGCTACCTCTATACTATACTTGTTAGGTGCCAGTTGGGTGTCATTTGCAGTCTTCACTTCCTGTCTGTTTAGCATAAAAGGGGTTATATCTAAGGGATTGAGCACTGACGACATCCATTGAGTGTAGTGCCAAGAGCATGATCTGTGCACTCTCTGCCATTCACCATTGAGGAAGAATTTGAATGCTGCTGCTCCGGAGTGAAAGTGACACATGGAATCCTGTGTTGGCATTGCTGCACTCCAAGAGTGTTCTCGTTGTAGAATATTTGGACAACCTCCTCCTGAGGGACCAGTCATAGAAGGTGCTGGCGGACAATAAAGCCAGGACAGTCCTACCCTTGCAGAGGTTTGTCTGTGTCCCGAATCTTCAGAAGACCAACCCATGACTTAGAATATCCTGGCCTTATTTTAGATCCTGCTCAAGCCAAAGTTTTCCTTCCTCAGAAAAAACTGCTCATTCTTCATTCCAGGAGTTGCCTAACTCTTTGCTCTTGCATGGGAGTTCTGGAACTGATAGTAGCCTCCTTCGAGGCAGTCCCATTTGCCTGGCACCTAGAACATTCTGACATTATGGGACAAGTCAGCACAGTCCTTGGTCAGACCAGTTAATTTAGCACGGAAGATCTGATTATCCCTGGCTTGGTGGCTCAGAAATTCTGCTTTGGAGTCAAGGAAGGCCTTCCTTCCAGTCCTCTGGAACATCCTGCAAGCTGCCAGCCCGTCAGTGCAGGGGACATTCGACATCAGATGAATCTCATCTCTCCTGATCAACATTCTAGAGCTATGCCATAAATGTAGGTATCCTTGGATTTACCGGTCTCAGGACTCATTTAGCTATCCTGTGATATTCAGCGGTGAGGATTCTTACATTTTGTAGATAGTCATGTGACAAAGAAATTACCCCCTCTTTGAATTCTTTTGGTTTTAAGTATCAGGACATAATGAAAATCATCTGGTTCTCAGCAGGTCTTAAAATGAGGTAATTGTAATTTCAGAAGAACAACACGACATATTACACTGTCATTATTTATTTTACAAACATTAAGCCAAAATTGAGAAGCCATGTGTGAAAAATGAAGTACACCCTTACTGCTTCCATAGGAATTAAGGCCTGGTTCACACCTAGATGACAGCATTTTTGTATAAAGCATAAAAATGCTCAAAAACACGGCAAACAGACGTTTTTAAGCGTTTCCTATTCAGTCTATGGTGCCAAAACGAGCTGTAATATGCCAAAAAAATGCTCCTGTACTTTTTTCCAACGACAGGCATTTTGCTTATTGCGACAAAACGCTCAGATGTGAACAGGGCAAGGGCAATCGAAATGAATGGGATTTAACCCACAGTTCCTCTCCATCTAGAAGTTTTTCCCATCCACCTTTTGTGTGTTCCAGCTACTTCTGGTACAGGGGTGCGGGGCAGATTTTTTGAGCGTTTAGGGTAGAAAACTGGGTATAAAATGCTCAGTGTGAACCAGGACTAAGAGGCTAAGTAGCAGCCAGTTTCTGCTAATTAAATGCCTTTTGATTAATGATGATCATAAAGTGTGACCATCTCCTATAAAAGCCAAAGCTTTAGCACTTTTCTGGTCTGGAGCATTCAGGTGTGTGTTAACACAATGCCAGGCAAGACATCAGCATGATCTTAGAGAAGCAATTGTTGCTGCCCATCAATCTAGCAAGGGCTATAAGGCCATATCCAAACAATTTAAAGTCCATCTTTCCACAGTGAGAAAGATTATTCACAAGTGGCAAACATTCAAGATAGTTGCCAATCTTCACAGGAGTGGATGTCCCAGGAAATTCCCCCCAAGTCAGACTGAGCAATGCTCAGAGAAATTGCTAAAAACCCAAGAGTTACAACTCAGACTCTACAGGCCTCAGCATGTTAAATGTGAACCACTTGAAGATCGGTGTTAAACACACTTCCCATCCAGGCCATTTTTCAGTATTCAGTGCTGATGTACTTTAACATTTATTCAGTCATGCAACTCTGTACTAAAATTAATTTTATATCACTTTTTTTTAGGACCGTTATCGCTTTCTTTTGGTGGTATTTAATCGCCATTGGATTTTTTGTTCTATAAAGAAAAAAAATGGAGGGGGAAACTTTTCCCTATGTTGTGTTATAAAACCTCTATTACCACCCAATTTTTTGGTAAAATAGAAGAGATGGTTAATGTCGGGTAAATGGACACCAAACAAGTCGAGCCTTAAAATTGAATGTGCCGGCAAAATCGCAAAAAACTACTATACCCAAAATTGCCCATAGACGCTTTTACTGCTCATCAATTAAGTGTTAACAGTGATTCATGGCTCTAGAATTATTGCTTGCACTCTGTCCTTCACAGTGATATGTAACATGGGTGGTGTAACCGCCACTTTCGCACGTGGGCGCACCAGATGCCTGTTTGCATTTGTATGTGCAGGTGAACAATTTTTTTTTTTTTTTATTTGTCTTTAATTTTTAAACTTGCTCACCCAGGGACCCTAAAGAAGCTGATGAAGCAGAGATCTGCTTGGTCAGCTTCTTCTCTGGCTACACAGCTGGAGGAATGACAGGCTGAAAGTGATGTAGTACACATCACTTCTGCATTCAGTGATCAGAGAGATCAGTGGGTGGACGTGTGCTGATCTCCCTCCGATCTCAGTGCAGAGACCCACCATGCCTATCGAGGGGGGGACAGTGGAGCTCGAGAGAGGGGAGCCCTGCTGCACACTTCCCACCCCGTACAAGCATTTGGGCGGCCATAGAGCTTGTATGTAACCTGCCATTAAGAGTCCGCCGTCTGTTAAAGTTCATGATAGTACAGTTAGACTGAAAACTGATTTGTTTGGAAGAGTTGCCAAGAGAAAGCCTCTTCTCTCTATAACATGGTAGCACGTGTTAGGTTTGAATCTGAACAAACTAAGACTTTTGGAACAATGTCCTTTGGGCAGACAAGACCAAAATGAAGATGATAGGCCATAATGCACAGCGTTGCGTTTGGTGAAAACCAAACGCAGCATATCTGCAAAAATACCTCATACCAACTGTTAAGCACGATGGTGGGGGGGTGATGATTTGGGTCCTCTTTATGTAGACAGGGGTCTCCAAGACCCCTAATTACACCTAGGACCCCCCGAAGAAGCTGATGAAGCAGAGATCTGCTTCATCAGCTTCTCGCCAGGGTCTGAAGCTGGAGAGTGACAGCAGAATGCGGAAGTGATGTAATGCACATCACTTCCGCATTCTGACAGTGGAGAGGGGACCGGAGGGAGTTCGTGTACCGATCTCCCTCTGATTCCCTGTCACAGAGGCACTATGCTGGGCTCGCAACGGGCACAGCGGAGCCCGGGACCAGCATGACAGCTGGAGGGGGGGCCGCGGAGGGAGGTGGGGGGACACACGAGCCGGCAGCTTATACAAGTGATCCGCAGGTTCCATAGCCGGTGGATCGCTTGTATGTTAACAGGCATGGCTGCGTACGCGAGTGGGCGTGACTGGGCGGACGTATCAAGACGCCCGCTCAGATCCAGAGAGCTCCCGGCCGGCCGTTTTTTTAACAACGGCTGGCCGGGAGGTGGTTAAACTTCAATGAACTGAAGCAGCATTGTAAAGAGGAGTAGGCCAAAATTTCTCTGCAATGATTTTTAGAGACTGATAGTCATGCAGAAAATTATTACTTCAAGTTATTCCTGCTAAGGTGGTTCTACAAGCTATTGAATCATACAGTGTTCTTAGTTTTTCACACATGGCTTCT